GATATTTGCAGCTTGATATAATATATACTGTTAACTACTAGAAGTATTCACAGTAGAAAGATAAAATGTACAAGTTAAATGTATAATAGTATTTAAACTGAGTTATAAATAGTATTTACAAACTTCAGTCTATATAGTTATATATAGTCAAGAGCTGCTAACTCTATTATATAAGAGAGAGAAAATAGAGATAAAGAATCTGCAAGAAGTGAGATTTCTTACAGCCTGTGAACAGTCTATTGAAACAGACATATTATCTGATATTAAGTTTTATCACTGTGAGATTCATAGTTCTGATATATCTTCATTGACAGTAGTCTGTAAAAAGAAAACTATCATTCAAAGAGCTTACTGTATTATCAGATGTTATAGAGAACATCTCTTATCAACTTCATTCTTAACTTAATTAAGAAAACAGCTGCAGTTATTATCTTTAATAATTAATTCATCTCTTAGTTCTGCAGATCTCTCTTCAGTCTTTCATCAATCATCTATGTAACTATGTTATTATTCAACTCATTCTCAAGTCAACCTTATTTCATCTTTAGAGGCATGCTTTCACTGCAGTTACAGTTCTATCTCTTTTATTAATAAGCTGTAAAATCAATGTTGCAGAGTCTTCTGTTTTGAGCTTAGCTCTGCAATGTCTTTGTACACAGAGGCTCGTGTGCATTAAGATATTTTGTTTTGGAACATCAAAGATAGACAGGGTTTTTGTGAAAGTTACTTCTCAGATATCTTCACAATTACAGAGCAGAGATCTTCCAAAATCAAGAAGATTGACGCATATGGCTAGATCTCTTTGCCTTACAATTTGTATGACAATTTGGCCCGGGGTTGTGGTGTAGTAGGGGTGAATGGGGGATAATCCCACACAGGAGTTTTAAACAATGTCTGGTTCACATTTGGCTGGATAACTCCACCACCACACGGGGTATGCGGTCGGCGATGGGGTCAAAATGCTTGTATGATCGAGGGCTTTTCGATGGATCTACCAGCGGGTTCTTATTCGAAAAATTGAGCGAGTTCGTGGTGGAGCGCTGTTCACCACAGACCTTGCTTATACTGAAGATAATATTAAAGCAGTATTCATGCTCAGAAGAGTGCAAAGAAGAGCAGATAAAATTATCTCAGATGCATTCAGAACAGTGATAGATAATATATTAAATATAGAATATAACATTCTCTCTATGAATTTATGTAAGAAATCTCACTTCTTGCAGATTCTTTATCTCTATTTCTATCTCTTATATAACTAATAGAGTTAGCGGCCCTTGGCTACATACAACTATATAGACTGAAGTTCACAAATATCATTCACAACTCAGCTTGAATACTATTATACATTTAATCTCTACATTTTTATCTTTCTACTGTGAATACTTCTAGTAGTTAGTAGTATATATCATATCAAGCTACAAACATCTGAATAATTGTCTGTAAGTACTTATTCTTACATTTCAAGCTATGTCAGTCAGCAATCATCTGTTATAACTGAAAGAACTAGAAACTTATATACTTTAACTTCTGTGAACTCTACTGTAGACACTCAGAAGCACTCATCTGAATCATGAATAATCTCTGTAAGAGAAGTTTCAGAGAACTTATTAATCACTCATAGAATATTATTCTCTACATCTGTGATAGAGAAACTCTTCAAATTCATAAATAAATCAATCTCAGTGAAGAACATTCTTGAGCATCTTCTGTGAAATCAAGCTATTTTTCTATAAGAAATACTTACTGTCTGTAAACTAGACTGGCCGGCGGGACCATGAATTTCACATTTGATCTCATTTGATCTAGTCTCATACATTTCTTGGCGTGAGTCTCACCAGAATCAAGCCTTAAAAAAATCTGCAAATGAATCATTTCTGAGAGAAATGACATGACAAATAACCAGATTTAATTCAAGATCAGTGAAATGAGAGTAATTTCTCAGAATAAACTGTGAAAGATGATCATTCTTTTAAAATCAGAATGAGACTGAAACTGAAGATTAAAATCAGTCTCATTCAGTTCATTTAGTGATTGCTTATATAATCAGAATTTGATAACAATTATTGATAACACTCATGAAACAACTAAATATATTCTTGTGTAAGTTTATTCTTTACTTTCTCATGAAAATTACACTTCTCTGATATACTGTGATCAGAGATATTAAACTGTCTGATAATTTCATGATTTATAATTATGAGTTTCTTGATTGTTTCTTCTTATAATTGTTCTCAGTGATAGTGATAAATATCTTGACTTGAGTTGAACTTTCACTTCATTCTCATCTCTATCAATGAAATTGTTAGAATATCACACATCATCAGTGTAACAGTTAAATATGTACTCTCAACAATTTTTTATAAGTCTAGAATTAATTTAACATGTAAATTTATCAGATTATCTTGAAGATAGTGATCAAATTCAGTTTTATAAGAATATAGTTTTGTCTGATTTTTAGTTATAATCAATGTATGTAAGTTCTATTTCAAAGTTAGTATTATAGTTCTATATAATATAAAGTATTATCAAAGATCATTACTTATTAGAGAATTGTATTTCACTGTCTTCACATCTTGAATATCTGCTTATTCAAATCTCTGATAATTGATATTGTAGTAGTCTCAGACTAATTTAATATATGAGTCTCATTTCTTCTCTATTCAATCTTGAGAAGTATAGATATTAACTTAATAAGAGAGATCTAGTAGAGCTGCTATAGTATAGTACTTTGTAAAAGATTGTTCAGTTTTGCTGTAGTAATATGCCAGTTTATTTCTTACAGTAATAATAGTCTGTACTATAGCATCATTTCAGACTGAATTTCTTTTTGAGTGATTCAACTGCTTCTTAAGATGAATAAATAAACTATTATATACTTATCAGACTGACTGCAGCATTGATGTATAAGTGATTGAGACTGTCTTTATTATCTTATAAAACTGAAATAGTAAATCAATCACATATTTCAACTGAGTTCACTTCATATCAGAAAGTTTCAATATCTGAATCTTTTTCTAATCAGAGTGTTGCACTCAATGATTAATTATCTGACACAATCAAAGAGTCTGAACAGTTATCTTATATATTGAACTTCACTGTGTTCTAACATTCTATATCATATTCAGTGATATAACTGATTTGTTTATTTATTAAATATCATGAAATTATTATTATTATTTAGAGAAGATACAAATCACATTAGCAATGTTTTAAATCTGTGATATTTAAATTATTAATCAATCTATTCAAAATTAATAGTAGTATTATCAAAAAGTATTATTAAAAAACAATATTAAAAAGTGTTATTAAAAAACATTATCTTTTATAAAGTAAATATAAAAGTTACTTGAGTAATCACTTTCATCTCATTCTCATTTCAAGAATCAGTCATCTCATTATTCTTCATCTGAATGTTAAGATTCTTTATCAGTGTTTATATTACAAGTTGAATTATATGAGTAATGTAGAAAATATAATCTTATTTATCATTTCAGAAATACAAAGTCAATTTTTGCTTCAAGCTCTTCATTATAGTGTAGTTATTCACACAGCATTATTAGTTATAATTGTAAGAAGACTGAGACTAATATCTCAATAGTCATTTTTAATCACAGTTATTAATATCTCTATTATATAATTCTCAGTATGACTACTGATCAATGATTTAAATTCAATTAATGTCTCTTAATAAGTTCAGTTCTCATCAATGTAATAACATATAACTCTTATAAATGTAAGATTGTTTATACTAGTTTATACATTCACTGTGAGAGATACTCTTCAATAATGCTTTAACTCTGATTCTAGATATTGTATATTGACTTTGTAGTGTATCTTGAGATTGAACTGAAGACAGAATTGATGTGAAATATAAAGATTTGAATTAAGTATTTAAAGAAGTGTTCAGAATTCAGGGTTTTCAATTGATTAAAGAGAAAGATTCAGAGATATATATATACAAAGTAATTATTCACAGAAGTTATCAGATGAGAGTTATAAAATCAGAGTACTGATATATAATCATTTTCACATAATTTTCTTCAAATTAGAAAGTTAGTGTTATTAAAAATCATTATCTAGTAGAGTAACTTATCAGCTCAGTAGTAATTTTCTGATTATTTTTCTTTTATTATCTGCATTCTGCTAACTTCAGATGTTAGAAAATTCCTTCAGAATCATGATTAGTTTATAATAAATATTTCTGAATAAAGTTATAGTGATTGTAGTAAAGAGATGACTCTTCAGTAATCTATAATATAATCTGTTAATAATTATTTCATAGTTCATCTCAATATTTGTGTTGAGTTTTTCATAAATTTCATGACCTGAAATCAGATGTGAAGAATGAAGTAATTATTTATTATAATTGAAAGAGAGTATTCTGTATTGAATTATAAATAATATAGACTTTGTGATTAACAGTGATTTCTTAAAGAGTGTATAAATCTTCAATAGAAGTAAAAGAAGTGAAAGAAGTGAATTTAGAAGATATAATAATAATTTAAGAAAGATAATAATTTATTTTTAATAACTGATCACTGATATGTGTAAGAAGAATTAATATAAGAGAAAATAATCTTATTACTTAACTTAGTTATAATTTTAGTACTAACTCAGATTAAATATTATTAATATATAAAAGTAAATAAATAATCTTAATTAATCTCTGTCATATTTCTTGAAATATATTAATATTATGAAAGAGAGTATTATCAAATTGAATTATCAGATAATATTATTAAAAATATATTAATATTGTGAATATCAATGTTGAAAAAATGTTGATACTTATATATTATAGTGATTTATGAATCATGATAGTTAAATATATATATATATATATATTTTTCCTGACTTGATTACAACTTGTACAATAATTTTTGAAAACTTAAAATTAATTTTAATTATTAATAATTATGAACTTATAATTAACTAATATAAAAAGAAAAAAACTTTTTCTACTTCTTCTCTTTCTTATTCTTCTTATCATTCTTTATAATTCACTTCTTATTTTTCTTCTTCTTCTTCTTCTTATCTGAGATGATAATCATCTCAAAATCTCTCTTCACTGCCTTCTCAGAGAAGGGTTTCTGCTGCTTCTTCTCAGCCAGGTTAACCTGTATCTCAAAATCCTGCATTTTCTGATCTGCTGTCTCAGGTTCCATCTCAGTGATAAGCAAATTGACATGCTCAGAGAGCAGAGCTGCCTTCTTAATATTCTGAATTATGAAGTGTATTTAAGACCTGAACAAGGCCTTAATTCTCTTCTTCTCTATCAGCTTCTGCTAATCAATTAGAGAACAGAAGTATTATCAAAAATTATCATCTCTTAATAAATAAAAAACTTATCAGTTTTGACTTCTTTATCTCTTACTTTAATATTCTCTCAATCTTCTTCTACTACTGCTTATTTATAGTAATACTCTTCTTCTCTCTCTCTCTCTTCATCTTAAACTCAAAGTATTCTCAGAACTTCTTCTAATCTCACTGCTACTGTATGAGACTTTTCATTATCTTCTTCTTCAATCTCTCACAGACAGTGTTATCTGTATTATTTCTATACTTAGTTCATTCTAAATCTATTAGAAGTGTTACTTAAAATCATTATTATTCTACTTTCTTACAGAGTCTCTTCAAGAGATTATAATATATCTTATAATCTGTCTCTGCTTACTTAAATGTCTTCTTCTTCTCTCTCTTCAATCTGTGATGATGCTCATGCGCCTTAATGATTCACAGAACTGTAGAATATTTAAAGAGAGATGACATGATTAATTTTAATAAGTGTTGAAGAGAGATGAAGATAGAAGAGACAGTCAGAAATGATATGATAATAATAATAATAATAATAATGATAATGATAATGATAATGATAATAATAATGATAGTAATAATAATGATGATAGTGATGATGATAATAATGATAATAATGATAATAATAATAATAATGATGATGATGATGAAAGAGAGAGTGCATTGAAATATATTACTGACTTATCAAATATAAAGAGACAAAGAAAATATTAACAGCTTTCAGAGATATATAAAAATAGCTACAGTGTTGTATAGCAACATCATCTTCATTCAATACATGCAGTATTGATATTCTTTGTATATAGTTATTATATAATCTATATCAGAGATACATGCAGAAAACAGGTCTTTATTACTAGAGAGAATAATTGCAGTGATTCTCTGTTTTTATATTATAAAGATAAGTTATTCTTATTTCTTTCTTCTCTCTTTTCTCTTCTTCTGCAATTTATCACTAAGTTCAAGCTGATATGAAAACTATTAAAATACTCTTAGAAACTCTCAAATTAAAGAGTATAGACTAATTAAATTTTAAATATAGAAGAATTAAATTATATTTAATATTACTAATTATTCATTCTCTCTTAATAAAATCATAGTTATATCTTTCTCTTCCTCTCTTAAATGATATATAGCCTGTGAAAAGTGAGTATCACACCAGGCTATAATGATTAATATAGTCTCAGTATACAGAACTGTATACACACAGTATGTAGTGAACTGAGAGACTGTATGAATTACAAACCAGTGTCAGTGTCTCAGAGAGAGTTATGCAGTGTGACAAAGTCACAATTCTCAGTTATATGTATAGAGAATGAATTATCACAGTAAGTGTATATGTATTGTATAAAAGTAACACTTTTTAATAACACTCAGTCTCTGATATCATGAACATAGAGTCTCTCTGTGAGATCTATTTTTATCAGAAGTTAGAAAATCTTATATTTCTCAAGATTATCTTCACATATCTTGTCTGTGAAATTAATGAGAAGAATTATCAATTTCAGTGTTCTGTTCTTGATATTATTCAAGTGACAGCAGAGTTCACTCTGATCACACTTTTTAAATGTATATTTTCTAAATATTCACATTTATACAGATATATACTGATTATTTATTAGATAATATTAAGACAATGACTCATTACAGCTGTGTTATTCTCACTATAAAAGATACATGATTAATGATGAATATTATAAAGACTCTGAGAAGTGAGTATTTTAAGAGTGCTACAGCTCTGCAATCTTAATTTTTTTTATTTTTTTTTTATTTTTTTTTTCATTCTGATTTTTTCTTGTTTCTGTTTTATTTTTTGTTTTTTGTTTTTTTTTTGTATTTTATATTTTTTTTATAATTAAAATTATATGAATTATGATCTGTGTTCAGAAAAGTAATGATATTTGATAACACTCTCTATTAAATTTTCAACAAATGAGCACTATATTATGATATTATATAAGTGAGAAGTGATTTCATGATCTCATTTAATACTATTCTTAATAATGAAATCAGAATGAAAATGTGACTAAGAATTCAAATATATTCTTTATTCAGAACTAGATTTTTATTTAAAAAGTGAATCTGAGACCTTTAATATTTGAAATAATGTGATTTGAGATCAATGTAATGAACACAAATCATGATCAGATCTAATGCTTTTAGGCAACATGATAACTGTAAAGTTTGGTCCTGGTTTCAGACACGGTCACACGGTCAGTCTACTGTAAACACTCTCAAACTGAGTTCTTAGACATGATCTTCAGAGATATCTGTGAACTGAAAAGAAACTTTCTCAAGCTATAATTACTTAAGGTCACTTACTGAATTACAATCTATAAAAGCTTTTACAAGTTTGTATTTAAAATTGACTCACAAGCTCAGCTGTGTGATATGAAAGATGAAGAAGCTGTCATCTATATAATGACAGATCTCTACTACACTGAAGTCAAGAACTGACTGAATTATTTAGAGAATGATTATAAGAGATCTCACTGATCTGTTCTCAAGACCTATCTTTAGAATAAGTTAAGAGACTCTGTAAGTCAGACAGAGAACATCTGAGCTGTAATTATTAATATTAGAAAAAGAGATGAGAAATCTGATAAAGACTACTTACAGTACTTTATAAAATTATGATGTAAATTAAGATCTGTGAAAACAGAATTCTGAAATAAGATCTGAATAATGATGTTTATAAAGAGACTGAATAAAGATATATAGAATAAGCTCATTGAGTAAGACTCTAAGTTCTTGATTCTGAAGAAACTGATAACTCTTATTCATTACTTATAAATCACTGTGAGAGTTACAGACTTATAAAGAGTAGATTATTAATCAGCTCTACAAGAGTTAGAATAACAGAGAACAGATTTATCAGAAAAAGATAATAAGATATAGAGAGATTCATATCTGACTGCTAAGTAGAGAGATAGAGCTTTATAAGCTTCTATGAATAGAGTATATAATAGAAAGATTAAGAAAAAGAATCTCTATTTTATCTATTCTAAATCAGAACATCTCTGCATAAACTGTCTGAATAAATTAAAATAGAAATTTAAGAAGTCATAGACAGAGTCAGTAACAGCCTTCTTAAGAGTCTTGAAGCTGATATCTGAATCTATTGCTTCTCTGATAAAAATACTTACTTACAGAAAGAGATTATACTGTAATACTACTGCTCTGTAAGTATGAAAAGTATTGATAAACTCAGAATCTCAGATCACTGTAGTGTTTCTAAAGCTTGCAGAATAAATGAGCTGAATAATGAAAACTGAAAATCTACTCTTATAATAAGCAGAATGCAAGAACTCAGATCTGAGAGCTAAGAGACTCATAAGAGTCATCTTTAAATTATAAGATCTCTCTGAAATCTGAAGAAGATTTGTAGAAACTGTGATTATTACAGATATCACAGATAACATGTACTTGAGACTTGTATAACTTTAAAGATATAATTTATACATAGCTGTTTATAAGTCAGATTTATACTTCTGATCAGTGTTAACAGACTTACTAATAGAGATAGAATCAGTTAATACTGTAGAGTTAATTAGAGAAGATAAGCTCATCTATATAATAACTTTACAAATGTCTGAGAACTTCACAGTCATGAAAACTGAGCTTCAGATATCAGAGAAATACTGAGATCTTACAGAGATATTCAGCTCAGTAAAGATAGCTGAGCTTTCTTCTTACTATGAAAAGAATCTGATAATAGATTTAATAGAAGAATAGAAACTCTTCTAAGAATCAATCTATAAGCTCTTTCATTATGAGACAGAGGTCTTACAGGTCTATGTAAAAAAGAATCTGAAGAATGACTTTATTTAATCTTAACAGATCTCTACAGAAGCCTCTGTGATATTTGTAAAAAAGAAAAATAAAGATCTCAGATTATATATAGACTATTACAATCTGTACTTTAAGATAATAAACAGTCACTATTTTCTATCTCTGATTGAGAATGTAATCAATCATCTCACAGAAGCTGTTATATTCACACAATTAAATATGATTAATATATATATATAACTGTGAATACAGTCTGAAGATGAATAAAAGACTGTCTTTAAAACTGTACTGAGATCATTTGAATATCTAGTGATATCTTTTAATTTGACTAATATCTCTACAGTATTTTAGTCTTTTATTAATAAAACCCTTTTGCATATCTGAATGTCTTTATAATAATATATCTGAATGATGTGATAATATACTCTGTAAAGAAGAAAGAACACACTGAGTATGTACAAAGTATGTTAAAAGTCTTAGATAAGACAGAACTGTATATTAAGCTTATAAAGTATAACTTCAGTGTCTGTCAGATTAATTTTCTAGAATATGTAATTATCACAGATAATATTCAGATGAAATCTTTGCAGATTGAGACTATTCTATTATAACTGAAGTTAACTAGTATTTATAAGATTCAAATCTTTCTTAACTTTGTGAATTTCTATAGATAATTTATCTTTGCATTTATAAGAATCTTCTTGACTCTTACAGACATACTGAAGAGTGAAAATAAGAAGAAGTTATTCTATAAATGAAGAATGAAAAGATTGTTAAGAAGAAAGAGCTGTGAGAACTTTCTTATCTCAGAAGCTTATGAGATCTTTATAAGATTGAAACAGATATTCACAGATATAGTAATACTATTTCACTTTGATCTTTTACTCTTAATCAGATTGAAGACAGATATCTTCTTCTTTATAATTTCAGAAATAGTCTTATAACTACAGTTAAATAAAAACTGAGTTTCAGTGATCTTTTTCTTATAGAAGATGCAATCTGTGAAGATTAACTATAGTATTCATGATCAGAAACTTCTTATAATAGTGAAATTCTTCTG